AAACAAACTGCTAATGCTTTTATGTAGCTTAATGAGAAGAAAATGTTTCGGAGGGATTCAAACCACTACAGAAGTTTTAAAGGGGGGGGAAAAAAAATTAAACTGAAGTCCACAACAGGCTCAGGAATTTGTTCCACTTATTAATTGAAAACAAAAGCAAGTCACTTGTGTTCCACTGTCCCCGGATTGTCCTCCTTGCATTGTTCCAGATCTCTTTCATTCCGCCCCCGGAGATTTCCCTCCTCTGTATTTTCAGCTGAATTTATTTAGGTTCCTTCTGAGTCTCATCCCGGAGGCAGCTCTTGTTGGGAATCAAGTTGCAGGGTCAGCCCTGTGGCTTGGCCTTCTGCAGGCCTGCCTGAGGCCCTGTGCTTAACCAGGTCATGGAATGGTTTGGGTTGGAAGGGACCTAAAATCCCATCCAGTGCCACCCTCTGCCACGGGCAGGGACACCTTCCACTAGCCCAGGTTGCTCCAACCTGCCCTTGGACACTTCCAGGGATCCAGGGGCAGCCACAGCTTCTCTGGCCAACCTGTACAAGTGCTTCCCCATCCTCCCAGCCAGGAATTCCTTCCCAATATCCCATCTAACCCTGCCCTCCTTCAGCTTAAATCCAATCCCCCTTCTCGAGCACAAGGCAGGACCTGCAAAGCCAATTCCCAAACATTTTCTAGCATTAATTTCTGCCTCTGCAGTAACTCAAAGCTCCTCTGGCAGTTCTCCTGCATGGAAGTGGTGTCTGGGTAGCCTGGAAACAGTCCCAAGAAGTGTCTGAAGCAGGGCTGGAGGGAGTGTAGGTTGTGTTGGTGCTTGGTGACAACACCCAAGATGTTGCTCAGAGAAGCTGTGGCTACCCCTGCATCCCTGGAAGTGTCCAAGGCCAGGCTGGAGTAACCTGGGCTAGTGGAAGGTGTCCCTGCCCATGGCAGGGGGTGGACCAAGGTGGTATTTCAGGTTCTTCCCAACCCAAACCCTTCTGGGATTGTGTCCTCCTGCCTCTGACTATCTTTTAAGGAGGTTGTTGCCCCTTTCAGTTTTCCCTTGGCTGTATCCCCCCAAACCTCTGCTCTTTGCCCAATTTTGCTCTTGTGGATGAAGAAGTGACTGGGAAGGCAGTGGAGTATCCAGGTCCAGGTGGGGGTTGAGCACAGGGAGCATCTGGGATGCTGGGGGAGGGTGAAGGTGTGGAACGTTCCCCACGGACGCATTTGTGCTTCTACCTGAGCCACCAACTCCCTTTGTGCCACTTGGGAACTGGCAAAGGCAGCTGTGGATCCACATGAGGAGCACTGAGGGCACTGGGGTTGTTCAGCTGGAGAAGAGGAGGCTCAGGGGAGGCTTCATCAGGGTCTGCAGCTTCTTCTGAGGGGCAGCTCCATCTCTGCTCTGTGTGAGCCCAGGGAACAGCTGGAGCTGTGCCAGGGCAGGCTCAGGTTGGATCTCAGGCAAAGGTTCTTCCCCCAGAGGCTGGTTGGGCACTGCCCAGGCTCCCCAGGGCAGTGGGCACAGCCCCAAGGCTGCCAGAGCTCCAGGAGGGTTTGGCTGATCCTCTGGGGCACAGGGGGGAACTCTTGGGGCTGGGCCTATGCAGGACCAGGAGCTGGACTGGATGATTCTTGTGGGTGCCTTCCAACTCAGGATATCCTGTGATTTTATGACCTGTGGCACAGCTGGATATTTGTCTGTGGCATCCCTATTTTTAGTGGTTTGGCTTCTTGGTGTGCACCAGCTTTGGTTGCCCCTATTTTGGGGGATAAACTTTGCAGGAACTCCAGGCTGCAGATGGCAACTCCTGATGCATTTGTGGCTTTCCTGGAAAGATTTTTCCAGTTGACCTTTTGTTAAAAAAAAAAAAAAAAAAAAAAAAGAGTGGATTTTTAATGAATGCAGAAATTGTGAAACTTGACAATACAATCCAAGAAATTTGAAAGTCATCTTCAATGGTTTAGTGAGTGCACTTAAAAAAAATATAAACCAGACAGATCTGTCACTGAGCAGAGCCTTGAGTGGGGAGAATTACAGCCTGCCCTGAAATGATCAGATAAGTGCATGTGGGACAGACCACTCTTTCTCAGCCTTTTTTAATCAAAAGCCTTTTTGTGGAGGAGCTTTTTGACCAGCAATTTTTTATAGCAAAATAAAAAAAAAAAAGAAGGCAGCCTGAAGGATCATTTTCTATAGTTTCTATCCCAGTTCTGTGTTGTTACAACCAAGAGAAGGAACAGCCCAAAGCAATTCTGAGTTGTGTTTTCTTTCCCCTCGCTGCATTTTTTATTGTGCTGTCGTGATTATTAATGGTATAAACACGCAGGGAAGATGATTTTCCTTTTAGAGTGTTTTTTTGTGCGTCACCCTTAATGCCTTTTGAATTATCAGTTATTTCAGGATAGTTCCCCGAAGATCCAGGCGGGCTGTGGGAGCAGAGTGCAGGAGAAATGGGATTGATGGGGAGCAGCTGGAGGGACCTGTAGATCCAGAGGAAGGCAGTGGGTATCCCAAAGATTTGTCAGGAAAGAAGTAGGGAGAATAATGCCCCAGATGTGTTGATTCTGGAAGGGAAATGATCTATATTGAAGGTGCTCAGTGAGTGAATCCATCAGGTGATGAGGACACTGGGAATTGCTGGGTGGGTCCCACTGGACACACATCGAGGATTTGGGATCACAAGGATGAATTTTCAAGGCTGCTGTGGTCTCTTGGCACCTGAGGAAGTTGGATCTCTGCCAGAACCAGGGAACTGAGGATGGTGACGGTGGAGTTTGGGGCTTGAGGGGTGTTTTGACTCGACTGGGAGGGAGAGTTTTGTTCTTTGTGCTGGGAACCAGAGTTGGAACCGGCGTGGAAGGTGATGATGGTGGAGTTTGGGACTTGAGGGATGTTTTGACACAACTGGAAGGGAAACATTTGTTCTTTGTGGCACCAAACCGAGTCCTGACGTTGTTTGAGTGGAGAGTCACCAATAATCATTGAGTGTTATTAATGTGATGATGTTCAACCCAGAGCCACAACGTGACATCCCATAATGTCAAAGTGGACATCCTGGAACTTTGGAGTGTGTTGCACTTGGGTCTGGCTTGGCTGTTCCCTGTTCACTTGTGTTTTGGAGGGAGGATGGAAATCGAGGATGTTGGTTCTTGGAGGGAGGATTGGGAGAATTCAGAAGGGAAAATACAAAATCTCCTTAAATCTGAGCTTAAATTTGAGCTTAAACTGACCCAGCATCTGCTGGGATTTGTTGCTGCCTGAACACCAACTACTTCTTTTTTTTTTACTAAAGAAGAATAATAAAAAGGTTTTAATCATCAGCCTTAATGTCTTAGATTTGCCATTTCCAAAGAGGGTTTTGCCTGGAGTTTGTAAGTAATTTTGAGGGATTTTTTCCCCCCATTGGCAGGTACATACACACATTTGAATGAAAACTGATTAATTTGCACCCAAAATTACTATTTTTTTAAAATTATCTATACCTGAGTATTAACACAATTCCCCTATTTTTATTTTCTTGTATGGAATTATCAAACTTGAATTAAGAGTTTGTGTCCTTGGGTTTGCTGAGACCCTGCAGAGAGGCCTTTCAGCACTAGATGGCACTCGGGCTCCAAATTTCAAGTTTTCTCAGCCACAACTCCTTGAAACTTTAAGGAAAAACCACCAGCACTGCATTAGTGGTGCCTTTCATGGAATTTGAGGAAGTTCCATCTCTTTTTTTTTCGCCTTTAGCACCAGCCAGTGAGTGAGGAAGGCAACGTGGTCACCTTTGAAGGCTTCTACTCCTGGGATCTGGGTTATTTTACATTGAATTTTAAACAGGTTTATTGGCATTTATTTGCCATTTTTGTTTTGCATTTTCTTTACATTTATTTGGCATTTTTGTTTTGCATTTTATTTACATTTATTTGGCATTTTTGTTTTGCATTTTACTGACATTTTGGGGGCATTTTTTTTTAATTTTATTTGCATTTATTTGGCATTTTTGTTTTGGCTGTTGGGAATCTTTAACCGAAACTGTCAAATTGAAATTGCCTGGGCAGGTTTTAAGGAATAACAATTAAGTAAATTATTAAGTAAAATTCTGCAGCTTTTAGTCCTGTCTTGGTATTTTTTTGCTATTTCCTTGAGACCTTTGTGGATTGGAGAGGTGGGATTCTCCAGAGCTCCTTGTCAGCTCAGATCACACAAAGGGGATCTCATGACTTGCTGCAGGAGCGTGTCCAGTTGGATTCATGGAATTCTGATTCTTTCTGAAGTGCTACTTGTCATTGTGATTAATAATTCTTGAAAATTTCATTCTTGTTACAGCTCTGCCATTCCCACCTTTTATCTCTAATTCCTGCCTGGAATCCAGTGTATAATTAATTTGGCCTTAATTTCTTACACAAGCTCAGATTCCATAAAACTCCCTACGAAAATTCTTTTGGACTGGGAGAAAATTCAGGTTTGGGAGCCAACAGTGCTTCTCAAAAATACTACGACTTCAATCCATAAAAAAATACCTGTATTTACTGTAAAAAACCAGGAAAACAAACCCCTGAAACCCCACATCCTTTCAGGGTGTGACCAGTTGGTCCCTCTGCTTTCTAAAGAAACATTTGATTTGAAGGAGAGAAATTTGGTTTGAGTTTCCACCTTTGCATTTCCCCTGAAGCTGAATGAGGGGCAGGGTTAGGTGGGATATTGGGAAGGAATTCCTGGCTGGGAGGGTGAGGAGGCCCTGTCCCAGGTTGGGCAGAGAAGCTGTGGCTGCCCCTGGATCCCTGGAAGTGTCCAAAGTTTCAGATCCACCAGTGCTGGGTTGGTTCTCATCCCTCAGGGAGAGAGAAGGGTCGGAATAGAAACATTTTCGGGAGAAACATTTTCAAACCTTGAGTTCGCCGCTTGGTTTATGGAAAGAAAAATCAGATCTGTTCCCTTTTAAAGTTCATATTTTGGGTAGTTCTCGTGAGCCTGTGACAGTCACAGACCTCGGGACCTTGACCAAGTGTTGGCATCTTCTTTCCAGGTCTGTCTACGATGGAGAAGAACATGGTCGGTTCATGGAGAAACTGGAAGCTCGGATCCGCAACCACGACCGGGAGATCGAGAAAATGTGCAACTTCCACTACCAGGGATTCGTGGATTCCATCACGGAGCTGCTCAAGGTCAGAGGAGAAGCTCAAAAACTGAAGGTGAGAGAAAAGTCACGGCCTTGGGCAACTCGTGTTTGGGTTGGTCCTGCTTGAGCAGGGGGCTGGGACCGAGTGGCCCAACCTCAACTACTCTGGGATTTTCTGAAACCACGGGAATGTCTGTTCTCCTCTTTGTCCAGAATGTCTCTTCTCTGTTTAAAACAAATTTAAAATATATATATATCTATATATCTATATCTTCTCATTCTTCCTGTAGAAATAGGTTGATCATTCAAAATTCAATAATTATTTGGGCAAACTGGACCAGGGTGGTGCATTAAAAACACGAGAAAACTTAAAGCTAAGCCTGTTATTTGTTAGGAAATGTGCTTTTCCTGGGGTGCCTGACCCCAATTTCTTAAGCAAAAGTAGGTTTGTGGCCTTTAAAGCTGTGCAGGAATGTGAGAGAAGGGAGGAATTGATCTTTTCCTTGTAGAACTCTATTTATATGTGGAAATATAATATGTGTGTATATGTTCCACATATATTATGTATGTGAGATATGTGGAAAAAGCCCTTTGTAGGATGAGAATGTGGACAATTGGTGGGAAGGAAACTGGACAGGCTCCCGGGGAGAAAAGGAGCAGGAGGTTGGAGCTGTTCTACACCTTGGGCCAGGTGGGCTTGGAGTTTAAGCTGGTCTGAAGTTACAAATAATGAGGGAAAAAAATACCTCAGAAAAGCAAGTTTTCTGGAAAAGAAGGAAGACTCCCAATTTCAATGTGCTGACTGTGCTTTAAATACGTTTATTAATTAATTTAAAGCCGCCTCTGGCATTTCCTGACAGGTTTCTAATTCCACATACACATTATCTCCATCCCAGAAATGGCCATGGGATCACAGGAACACCTTCCTGAGGGATGTCCTGAGGAGGATTCATCCAGCAGGATGAGGCCATTGGAAATACCATGAAATAAGTCTTTTTATTTCCCCTCCCCTCTGTTTTTTAAACCATTGTTTGGAGCCAAGAATTCCACATTGTTTGTTTGCAAAGCCTTGGTGCTGGTTCCCATTCTGCAAACAGCTCCTTTGTTGGTGGCTCACTGGGAAGTCCATCCCTGTCCCCTCAGGATCTCTCTTGATTTCCACGACTTTTGTGATCCATAAAACGGCACATGGGAAAAATATCCACAGAAAGTTCCTCTCTGAAAGGCTGAGCCCTCTTTTGTGAGGGTTCCCCCGGGGAATCATTTGTGGATCGAGTGGTGAGAGTGGGTTTTGTTCCAGCCATTCATCCTCCATTTGATCTCGGGCTCTTTCTCAGTGGTGCTGGGCTTTGAACAGACATTGCAACCAGCCATGAAATGAAGGCCCTCCCTGTCACAACCCCCCCAGGACGTTTCTTCACTCATGTGCCTTTGGCTCTGGGGTGTTTTGGAGGACATTGTGTTTGCAGAAACGTCGGTGGTGTTGTTTTAGGAGGGCACAGGCTGAACATGAGCTGGTTGCCTTGCCCTGCTCGTGTGTCACACGACCCTCAGGGCTGGGAGGTTGTGTTTCAGGTGGCCCCAAATGAACTAGAACCCAATCAGGACCCAATCACTACATCTTCTGTCCTTTTTTTTTTGCTTTCCCTCAGAGGACCTGGCGCTGAATTGAGAAGTTTTATCTCCTCAAATGTGAGCTCAGGTGGCCAGGAAGGCCAAGGGCATCCTGGGTGATATCAAAAATGTGGTCACAGCCCCAGGGCTGGCACTGCTGAGGCACCTCCAGCCCTGGGGGCACTTCTGGGACCCTCAGACAGGAGAGACATGGAGGGGCTGGAGCGTGTGCAGGGAAGGGAACGGAGCTGGGGAAGGGGCTGGAGCAGCAGGAGCGGCTGAGGGAGCTGGGGGGGCTCAGCCTGGAGAAAAGGAGGCTCAGGGGGGACCTTCTGGCTCTGCAACCCCCTGACAGGAGGGGGGAGCCGGGGGGGAGTTGGGCTCTGCTCCCAGGGAACAAGGGGCAGGAGGAGAGGGAACAGCCTTAAATTGCACCAGAAGAGGTTTACAATGGATACTGGGGAAAATTCCTTCCTGGAAAGGGCTGTCCAGCCCTGGCACAGCTGCCCAGGGCAGTGGTGGATCCCCATCCCTGGAGGGATTTAAAATCCCTGTGGATGTGGCACTTGGGGACATGAGTCAGTGGTGGCCTTGGCAGTGCTGGGGGAATGGTTGAACTGGATGATCTTTTCCACCCATAATGGATTTATGATTCCATGATGAGCAGAGGAGCCCCCCCTGCCATGGATTTCTGCAGGAGGCAACACTGTGTTGTTTTCAGGAGGCACTGGGTCACTATTAATCATCTATTTATATATATATATATTTAAAGTAACTTAATTGAAAATACATGGGATGTGTTTTTTAAAAGGCATCTCTCCTTAATTTATATGATATTTAAACCATAACATACTTAAACCAAACCTTTTATTTTGCATTTTCTTACTCTTTTTTTAAAACTATGTAGCCTCACTCTGGCAATTCTCTTTCCATTTAATTTCTTACATGGCTTTCCTTTTACTTACAAGGGAAATCTCGATGCTTTGGGATTTTTTTTGTAATACATCTTAAATGTTTTCACAACTTGTATTCCACATTCTCCCTCACTGGGGAGTGAGCAGGATGGTGGTGACCTGATCTCAATCCTGTAAATACCTGGGACTGCTGGGTCTTGGAAACCACAGACCAGTCTGGCTGTTCCATCCCATAAAGGATCTGGTGGAAATTAAAAGGCCAGAGATGGGTTTTACATTAGGATGGTTTAACTTGGAAAACACGGCTCAAAGTGCAAAGGATCCCAAGGTCTCAGGGCTGATGGCAACATCAAGAAATCACCTAATCCACCCTATCCAATCCAAGTTGTTCTTGTTTCCCAGACAAGCTGTGGCTGCCCCTGGATCCCTGGAAGTGTCCAAGGCCAGGTTGGAGCAACGTGGTCTAGTGGAAGGTGTCCCTGCCCATGGCAGGGGTTGGAATGAGATGGGCTTTAAGGTCCCTCCCAACCTAAACCATTCTGGGATTCAGCTGTGTCATTCTTGATGGATTTTTATCCCACCTCTCCAATACTGACTCTCCTTCCTTCTCTGGGAAACTCTGGCCACGTGGATGAAAAGTCTTATTTTTTGGTCTACTGCTTTTTGACCTGTCAGGCATAAAAAAGGGATTATTCCTTCTTGGTTTCATAGAATCACAGGATTGTTTAGGATGGAAAAGCCCTCAGATCATCCAGTCCAACCATCCCCCAGCACTGCCAAGGCCACCACTGACCCATGTCCCCAAGTGCCACATCCACAGGGATTTTAAATCCCTCCAGGGATGGGGATCCACCACTGCCCTGGGCAGCTGTGCCAGGGCTGGACAACCCTTTCCAGGAAGGAATTTCCCCTAATATCCAACGTAAACCTCTTCTGGTGCAACTTGAGGCCATTTCCCTTTGTCCTGTCGCATTTTTTTGGGGAGCAGAGCCTGACCCCCTCAGTTTTCCCTTCCTGTCAGGGAGTTGCAGAGCCAGAAGTTCCCCCACAGCCTTCTCCAGGTTGTGGGAATGTTCTTCTCTGGTCTTGTCCTCTGAAAGCCAGGCAGCCCCAAATCCATCCCAGAGGATTGTGCTTTCCAGGCATCTCATTTTCACTTTCCTTCTTTGAAGCCCTTGCAGTTGGTGGGGTTTGGGGATTTTTTTTGATGGTAAGTGTTGTCTCTGAGCTGGGGCAGGGAACTGGTCAGCAGGGAAATGGTGCAGGAATGTTTTCAGTGGAGGGGGACAAAGATGATGAAGGGATGGAGCATCTCCTACAAGGAAAGGCTGAGGGAGCTGAGGAGACACTGAAAGAACCTCATCCATGTCTGGCAGTGCCTGCAGAGAGGGGGCAGAGGATGGACCAGGATCTGCTCAGGGGGGCCCAGCAATGGCACAAGAGGAAAGGGCAGGAATTGATGCTCAGGAAGTTCCACCTGGACATGAGGAAGAACTTTAACTGTGAGCACTGAACAGAGACCAGAGAGGGTGTGGAGTCTCCTCACTGGAGATATTCCAGACCCATCTGGACACAATCCTGTGCCATGTGCTCTGGGATGGCTCTGCTGGACCAGCTGACCCGCCGTGGTCCCTCCCAGCCTGACCCATTCTGGAATTCTTTGCAGTTCTGAGTTGAGGGGGGGGAGAAAATGAGAAGGGAGCAATTTTTATTGGTTGGTGCATCCAGATGAAGGCAGATCTGATTAAAATGAGGAGCTGACTTGGAGTTCAGGGAATCTCACCTTCACCTGTGCAAAACCAAGCAGGGATCTCACTGCCCCAGGATGTGGAGATACCCTCAAAGCCCAGCGCTGGATTCCCATAGGGATTGGGTTACTGGGGGGAGAACGGCTGAGGTGGTGGATAACAAACCCACACTGGGAAGTTCATGAGTTGCTAATTGGAAGGATCACTCCGTAGTTGCTCTGCCTTCCTTTGGGAGGTGGAAGTCAGTGGGATGTGGGTGTAGGACAGGGATGGAGTCGGCACATCCCTGCGGGGTCATGCCGGTGCTTTTGAGTCCATTCCCAGGATTCATCTCCAACGCCCTTTGCTCCTCTTGCTCCTCACTCTGACACTCTCTAAATGATCTCAGAGTGTTGTTAAACCCCCCAAGCCCTTCTCTGTGCCACGTGTTCCGTGAGTAGATGGATGAAGTAACAACTGGAGCATCCCGTAAGCCGCTCACGTGATCCCGACGTCTCGTCCTTCCCATGTTCCCACCTGCTGTCTGTCCCCCCTCGCTGGGAGTCTGCCTTAGATTATCAAATCTCCTCATCTGAAAAGCCTCCACTTGGCTGCAGAGAGCCTGTATAAATAATCATCTCTTTTTTTTTTTCTTCGTGGAGACTTTAAGAACAAACCAAAACACGACTCGCTGCCCCCTGAAAACTCGGAGTGTGCAAGGACAGACGGTCTCCTGACTTTTTTTTTTTCCTGGAGCTGGGATTGATATGTAATTTTAATAGAACACTAGTACAGCCTTGGCATTATTTTAGGAGCAGTTTTAAATTACCCTACATGGATTCCTTTTTCCTGGTGGGATTTTTCAGGATATAAGCAAATAAAGTAATCTTTGGAAGAGATGCTGCGCTCCCGCTCGTAAAAAATCTCGATACATCATGAAGGAAATGAGCAGTTTTGGCAGAGGGCAAAGAGCCAGGAGAGCTGAAGCTACTGCAGGAGGGGGAGAGATGTGAGGCAGATGCTGTGGAGAAAGTGTGTGTGGGGAAATCATGGGGTGATTCCTCTTTCTTGCATCATGGGAGGCTTAAAAACCGATGTGGCCGGTGTTAAAATAAGAGGGAACTTGTGAGGTTTGATGGCTCTGCTTGTTGAGGCAACACAGTGGGAGATGACCTGGTGGAGGCTGGATCAGTGTGGGAGATCCAGCAGGGAAGAAAATGGATCCTGGATCAAATTTATGAATGTTAATGGAAAGCTCCCCTCCTGCCTGAACTGTGTTTGCCTTGTGGTGCAGTCGAAAAGGAAGGAGGTCATGGAATCGTCAAGGTTGGAAAGACCTTTGAGGTCATCAAGTCCAACCATCAACCTGACACCACCACCACTGAGTCATGTCCCCAAGGGCCACATCCATGTGTTTTTTGGACACTTCCAGGGATGGGGACTCCACCCCTGCCCTGGGCAACTGCGCCAGGGCTGGACAACCCTTTCCGGGAAGGAATTTTCCACACTTTTCCTGCTAATATTCCTTTGCTGTGCTGTTGCTGCTGCTCCTGCACCATCCACGCTCTGGTGGATCACTGGAGATCACTGCATGACATTCCTTCACTGGGGTTAAATTCCTCAAAAAGTCAGCTTGTGTCCATCACTGCTGAAAGGGAAACAAAGGTCTCCGGTTGGTTTTTGTGATCTCACACTCCTGAATATCCTCGTGGAGCTCCGTGTCCCAGTTGGTGCTCTTGTCCAAACTCTGGCAAAGGTTTTGCTTCTGGAACGAGCAGAACTCCTGAAAACACGCAGGGATGAGCTCTGACAGAAATCCAGGAGCAACTCCCACCCTATGGTGAGCCTGTGGAAAACCAGGAACCTCTGAGAGACAGAGGCGAGCCTGGAAACGAATGTTTACAACTTTAGGGGCTGTGAAAGGAATATTCTATGGAAAAAAAAAAGTATTTTATGGCTTGTTAGTCTTAGACTGATGTGAGGCACTTGAATCCTGAGCAATCCTGCTGGATTTACCTTGGGAATTGGCTGCTTTTGCTGGAGACCTGGAGCTGGGCATGTTTGCTTGGAACCTGGTGTGGTTTTTTTAGCAGATGGTGTCTCTGTTTACAAACTTACTCCTGTCTGGACTTGGATGAGTGTTCAGGAGAATTCCCAAAGTCGTTTTCCTACTTGTTGGCCAAATAATGGGTGAACTGCTAATTTTCCATCCTGATGAGTCCAAAAATCCACTTTGTTCTCTCATGGGTCTTCACTGAGTCACCTCATGCCCAGGGCTGGGAAGGGCTGGACTGGTGGACTCTTCCTAGTCCAGGGAACTGCAGGTTTGCCAAGTGGGAATTTTTTCAACTATGAGTCTCAACTTGATGGGATAATACAGAAAGAGAGTTTAGGGAAGGAAATAACAGCCCCTTTTTTATCCCAGGTATATAAAAATACCTTTTTCTACCAGGCAGGAGAAGGGAACCAGTGGAAGATGCACCTGAAGATCTAAAAGGAAGTTTTCTAGGTGTTTATATAAATATAAATAATTATTTACAGGTAAAACCCACGTTGAAAAGTTCTTTCTCACTGTGATATCAAGGAATTAAAACCTAACTGTAATTTATTTGGTGTTGGGAAGGACATTTAATTCCTCCACTGGCTTTAAAACTGAGAATCCATGTGAGCACCTGGTAGAAAGTTGGATCCATGAAAACTGCAGGATTTTGTGGCTTCCATGCCACAGTTTTAACTCCTGTTGCTTTTTACTCCTCTCCAGTGGCAGGGAGGGAAATCCTTGGGTTTACTCTGTGGCTCTTGGCATCCTGTGTGAAATGAACCATTAAAAAGCTTTTTTCCATGGAATGGGAGGTTGGGTGAGGAGTTTTATGTACAGTTTGGTTTTATGGGAAAACCACTGTCCTGATTTACTGATGGGCTTTGTCTTTTCTCCCCAATATTCCTGCAGAACCAAGTGACGGACACCAACCGGAAGCTGCAGAACGAAGGGAAAGAAGTAAGTGATCCATTCATGGATTCATGGAATTGTTGGGGTTGGAAGGGACCACAAAGACCATCTCCACTATCCCAGGTTGCTCCAAGCCCAGTCCAACCTGGCCTTGAATCCTTGTTTCGCCCTTCTCCACATCCACAGGATTTTCTGTTGGAGCCTGAGCCTTTAAAAATCCCTGTTAGTTCGGGAAGAATCCCCCTGGGAATGAGCAGGCTCATTTGGCTTTGAGAACCCAAAAAGAGCTACTTGGAGAAGGGAGTAGGGAAGAGATGACTAAAATGGGAAGGGAAAACAATTCTATTGGAATTCCCAGGATGTGCTCCCAGGCTGGTGTGCCAATGGCTTTGGTTTTGCTGCTTCCTTAGTTGAAATTCAGGGAACGTTTCCGCTGGAAGAACCCGGAGCTGCCTGTGGCTCCCTCTTCCAGCAGCTCCCTGGTTATCAGAGCAGGCTTTGTGGTCACCCCACGGTTTGGGCGGTCATGACAAGTGTTTATGGTGTTCAATGGGATTTTTTTCCCCCTTCCCAAAGCTGATAATTGCCATGGAAGAGCTGAAGCAGTGCCGGCTGCAGCAGAGGAACATTTCGGCGACAGTCGATAAACTCACGCTGTGTCTTCCCGGTGAGGAATCTCCAACTGCTCCTGCCTTGTGTTTGTTTGAATTCCCAGTCTCTTTGCTTTGTGCTCAAGGCTTCTGTTGTTTTCCTTCTCTTTCCAGTGCTGGAGATGTACAGCAAACTGCGGGAGCAGATGAAATCCAAGAGGTAAATTTCGTGTCGGTTTGTGGGTGTTTTATTATTATCAAAACAGTCGTTTGGGGCTGAGTAAATTCAAGAGGTTCCCAGAGCTTCCAAATCAGCCTTTCCAGGTTGACTCCTCTGTTTTTTGGCTGCTCATCCTCCGGGAATTGGGATGGCAGCAGGCTCGGATTTTGGTTTGTGTTAGGTTTTGGAACGAAGTGGATATTCCTTGTTTTTTTATGGAAGCTCCCTGTTGTTGTGCGTGCAATCCATGCGTGTTATCAACTAAATTTTATGCTATGAATGCCATGATATATAATCTAATATATGCCAATTCTAATACAACCTGAGAGATTCCAATGAATGTGGGTGGAAGCCAAACACCTGGAAACATCAGGACGGGGCAAGTTGGGGAGAAATCTTATTTTGCAGTAGAAACAACTCTTCAGGAGAGTGAGCTGAGCTCCAGGGACTTGGTGTCTCTGAAACCACGAGCTGTAAATCCAGGATTTTCCCCACCCTGCATCTGTTGCATGAGGGATTAAACCACGGCCTGGGATATTTGCTGGAATCCTGGGGGATGGTTTGTTTAAGCAGCACGGAGCAACTCGGGAGCCCTGGGGGTGGCAAATTGGGCAAAGAGCAGCTGCTGGAAGGAGGGAGGCTGGAAACGTGGCTCCAGCTGGATGCCAGGCAGGGAGAGCAGTGGGATCTCTGGCTGGTGCCTGCCATCCATCATGGGAACAGCACAGAAGGAGCCAGATGTTTGGAACAAGGCGATAACTAATGGGATGAGGGGGTTGTTTTTACACCTCCCCTCCCGCCTCTGCTCCCCGCCGGGGTCCTTGGGAGAACAGATAAGTGGAACTCCTGGAAGTTGGGCTGGTTGGAGGAGCTTTAGGGAGCTCCCAGAGCTGTCCCCCAAGCTCCTCTCTGTCCCTCAGGATGGCTCAGGGCAGAGCAGGGCAGGGGGGAGTTTGACCAAGTGTTTTTTAATGTGTTTATAGCAACAGAGAGGGGCTTCTCCGCTGACAGACGTGGGGTGGGAGCTGGAGCTGAGCACAGCCCTGGGAACTCCTGCAGGGAATCCACATGCTGCCCCATTCCCTGCTCTGGATAATGTTTCCAGGGTCTGCTTCTAAGAATTCCATCTTTTTTTTTCTTTTTTTTTTTTTTTTTGTGTTGGTTCATTTTGAAACAAATAGAAGCTGAAAGCCACATTTAAGGAATATCTGAACCCTGGGCTGGTTTTTTTCTCCCCTTCTTTCTTTGTCTGAATTTGATGGCTTCATCCACCAAATGCAGCACAGTATGTGAAGTATTTTTATTTTTGCACCCAGTGTCACTTGTAAATCACTTCAGGATGGGCAGCAAGGGGTTGGGTTTTGGGTGCACAGTCTTGGAGGAATCACAGGGTTTGTATTTAGGGTGAATAAACCCTCCCAAGTTCCGTTCTCCCAAGGCAAACAGAATGAGTTGGGTGATGTTTGTAACCCAAAATCTGTGGCCACGAGCTGGAGGTGGAGAATGTAGAATGATCTGATCCCAGAGGAGTGACAGGAACCAGAAGAAGAGATGGAGAGAAAGGTTTTCTCCCCCATTGTCCAGAATTTAAGGAAGGGACAGAAAGAGCTTTTCTCCCATGGCTGAGACATGTGTGGAAAATGATGGGAAAACCTAAAATCTCTTGTCTCCAGAGATTTCCCTCCTGGTTCTGCAGGACTTTGGAGGGATCAGTCTGTTTTATCTACCCCTGGGTCACTTGTCATGTCCGTGTGGTCTCCAAGCAGTAAGAAATAGAATCATAAAATTCCAGAATGGTTTGGGATAGAAGGAACCTTAAGGATAATCCAACCCCCTGCCATGGGCAGGGACATGTTCCATTATCCCAGATTGCTCCAAACCCTGTCCAACCTGGCCTTGGACACTTCCAGGGATCCAGGGGCAGCCACAGCTTCTCTGGGCAACCTGTGCCAGGGCCTCCCAGCCAAGGATTGCTTCCCAATATCCCGTCTAAATCTCCATTTTTCTTTTGGGAAACCATTCCCCCTTGTCCTGTCTCTGCAGTTCCTGGTGCAGATTCCATCTCTGGCTTCCTTGTGAGCCTGAGATGCTTCATGGGAACGTTCATGGATCCCATGGGAGTTCTTCATATTGCTTGGAGCTGAGAAGCCCCTGTAGAGCTGTTCCCTCAAGCAGAGCCTGGGTCTTTCCAGGAAAAAAAAATCCCCAAAAAGCCACCTCTGACCCTGTTTATCAAAATCCTGCTCCCCCCCACTCAAGGAGTGCTCCTGGGATTCAGAGCTGGAAAAGAGGTGTCCCCCTCTGGGAGGCCACTCAGAGGTGTCAGGGGATGTGACCTGGACCCAAACAACGCCCTAAAATATATAAAACCCACCCCAAGGTGTGTTTATTCCTCTGGATGAATTCCTGGCTTTCCCTGCACTCCCAAATTTCTTTCCAGAGAGTTTTGATTTTTGGTTCAAGTGGTTTTTCACTCCTTTCCCAGTGTAAACAGCAGTTGGGTTATGGGGTTAAACTGTTTGACTTCTGCTGTTGGGAGCAGGATGGGCCTCTCTGGCTGGAATAACTCCCCTGTGGAGCTGCCTGGGGTTCAGGCAGGAATTATTTTGGGTGGGAATTTGAGTGGCAGGTTGTTTTCACTGGTGCCAATCTGTTTCTTATCCTGAACACTGTTTCTCCCCCCAAAATTCAAGGTGTGAGTGGTGGATTCTGGTGAACAGGATTCACTCTGGGTGTAATCAGCTAAAATTGCCTTAATTCACCCCCGAGGTGACTGACCTGGGGGTCTTAAATACATTTTTATGTATTTTATATTTATTTTCCACTATTGATGCTTTCTAAATGGTTTCCTGGTCATTTTGTGTTGCCTCTGATCAGATTTTTGGTCAGATCAGGAGGAGGATCTTGAATCTTATACCTCCATTCAGGGCCGTTCCGTATTCCAGTAAAAAGGCAAATCCTGTGGATTCCCACTTTCCAAAGTGGAAAAGATGGGTGGGAATTTGAGGAAAAATTAATTTCTTAGGCAAATTTTCCATTTAGCATCACGTGTAAGGCTCTGAAATTTGCTTTTCTGCAGAAAGGGAGGGTAAAATTTAAGGCCGTTGGCCATGACAGAAATACAGAGGAATTCAGGGAAAGAAACATTGGGAATCTTACATTCTTAAATTTATAAGTTACACTCGTTTTAAAGAAGGGAAATGAGTTATTTTGAACATTGTGAAGGTCACACACCCAGTGGTACAACAGCAATTGCTGGAGAGGCAGGAGCTTGGTGGAAAATATACCTGTTGAACACCTGATGTGGGATTTGGATCCATATTTTCCCCCCCCATCTAAATAAAAAATACCTTGGGTGGAAATACTTTTAATGGTGTTTAGGAGGATTAGAATGGTTGGGAGGAAAGTGGGATCAGATTTTTGGTATCCAGAGGGAAAGAGCTGAGCTCTCATGTCCAGGGTCTTCCCAACCCCATGACAAGTGTCTGTGTTGGTCCAGATCTGTTGGATATGGATGTGTTGGACACTGGTTTATCGGTTTATAGGATTTTATGGGATATTCCCATCTCCATGATTTTGTCACCTCACTATCAGGGGTTACCAACCTGGGCTAGTGGAAGGTGTCCCTGCCCATGGCTGGGGGTGGAAGTGGATCATCTTTAAGGTCCCTTCCAACCCAAACCATGCCCTGATTCTGTGGTTCCAAAAATTCTGAGTTATATTGGCTTATTTAAGTTAATGCACCTTTTTTGGGGGAAAACAGGGTGGAAGTGGCTCCACACGTCCCTTCCTTGCTCTCTCAAGGCACTACCCTGCCCTGAAGCCCCTGGAGCACCTGGAAGGTGTCCCTGCCCATGGCAGGGGGTGGAAGTGGATCAGCTTTAAGGTCCATTCCAACCCAAAGCATCCCATTATTCTAAAATTACAGAGCTGAAATTCTTAGTTAGATTGACTAATTTCCAGTTAATGCACCTTTTTTGAGGGAAAGTGGGATGGGAGTGACTCCACACATCCCTTCCTTGTTCTCCCCAGGCACTACCCTGCCCTGAAAACCCTGGAGTACCTGGAAGATGCCCCTTGCAGGGGGTGGAACTGGGTGATCTTTAAGATCCATTCCAACCCAAACCGTGCCATGATTCTGTGGTTCCAGAGCCAAAATTCTTGGTTTTATTGATAATTTCCAGTTAATGCACCTTTTTTGAGGGGAAAGTGGGATGGAAGTGGCTCCACACGTCCCTTCCTTGCTCTCCCCAGGCATTACCCTACCCTGGAGCACCTGGAAGGTGTTCCTGCCCATGACAGGATTGGAACTGGATCATCTTTAAGCTCCCTTCCAACTCAAACCATGCCCTGATTCTGTGGTTTCAGAGCTGGAATTCTTAGTTAGGTTGACTAATTTCCAGTTAATGCACCTTTTTTGGGGGAAAATAGGATGGAAGTGTCTCCACACGTCCCTTCCTTGCTCTCCCCAGGCACTACCCTGCCCTGAAGACCCTGGAGCACCTGGAGCACACGTACCTGCCCCAGGTGAGCCACTACCGCTTCTGCAAGATCATGGTGGATAACATCCCAAAGCTGCGCGAGGAGATCAAGGAGGTGTCCATGTCAGACCTCAAGGATTTCCTGGAGAGCATCCGGAAGCACTCGGACAAGATTGGAGAGACGGCCATGAAACAGGTAGGGCTGGTTTGTGTGCACACACTCCATGGGGCTTTTTGGGAGGAGGACGGTGGTTCAGTCGTCTCAAAGTTCTGCTTTTCCACTCCCAAGGCAGTAAATTGAATTTTGGAGTAATTTTGCCGTGATTCTTCCTTCTGTGGTTGCTCCTGGATTTTTTTTATCCCGATTTTTTGTGCTGTTGCAAAGCGATGATCCGGTTTTCTCCTTGTCTTCTCCCACCTGGATTTTGCTGTGGGCTCTTGATAACTTGGAATCTGGGAGGTGCAGTTGTTGTTTGAAACTCATATTTTCCACTTAGCATTTGTTCTGCTGTGCCTGGTTGGAACTGGAAGAGCTGGAGACACCAGTGCTGATTTACTCCAGTTTGGAGTAAAGCAGCAGGAGTTCAGGCACTGAATTTAATTTATTTTACATCTTAAACTGATTTTTAAACACTGGGTAAACTTGGATTGGGGCTGGATTGACTTTGCCCAGCACTTGGTGCCTGTAAAAGATGAACCTGATGAATTGAACATCCCTGTGTGGGTGTTAAATCAGAATTGCCTCTTCCCACTCCTATTTAATATTCTAGTTTTGAGTTTCAGCACAGTTTATCTTGTCACGGCGGGGGAGCAAAGCTCCCAGTGGCTCTTAAAAAGAACTTTGCTACTTTGATGAAATTCAAATCCGCTGGCAGTGAAATTTTACCTCGTATGAGCAGTAAAACACTTCCTCTGATAGTGATGGATGGCTGGGATGTGTTGATTTATGGGAAGGACTCTTGCCATAATTTTTCACGAGATGATAAGGTGGTGCTGTTTATGGTTAGAGGTTCAATTTTCTGTCTTACAAACCCCATCCTGGAGGATTTCTATTAATTGATTTAATTTCCCGTTTTCCCCATGCCTTGTTGTCTTCTGAGCTGCTTTCTGGTATTTTGGGAAAGCAAACCAAGCCTTATATTGTGTCATAGAGGTGTGGGGAGATACCACTTGGCATCTGAGACTTCAGCAAACCTTTTTATTCGAACCAAACCCGTCTTTCTGAACGTGCAGAAAAACACACCATGGCCTGGGTGTGGTTTGGTGGAGCCACAAGTGCAGGGTGGCCGTGGCTGGGGGGGCTCCAGGTGTTGGATTTACCCAGAATTGTTTATAAAGCTGCTCTGTTTTTGTTCATTTTGTGGCAGGCAGAGCGTTTTTGGGAGGTTCTTGGTTTGGTGATCTCAGTTGGGTTTGATGATCTTGGTTGGGTTTGATGATTTTGGAGGTCTTTCCCAACATCAATGATTCTGTGATTTTGCTGGCTGGAAAAGAACAGGAAATTTATTTGTTTGGTGTTCAGTCAAACCAGCAAATACACTCTTTAAATAAATAAATAAATTTAAGTTCTCTTAAGGATATTTAGCAATTTTAGACACGTGAAAGGGTGCAGATGTTGTGTTGTCTTCTAGTTTCCCGTTTCATGCTCATGGTTCTGGGAGAGGCGTTTCAACCTCCTGGCCCCTGGTGGCTTTGATGGGTGAGATCTTCAAGTCCACCCACGTTTCTGTGGCTGTTCAGGTGACCAATTTAAAAAAAAATTCCATAATTCCCAATTCCTTTTTGGTTTCTTCTGCCCAGAGTTGCTTCTGTAGCTTTGTGTTTCCATCTCTTCCGCATCCATGATCCGCTTCTTCCCGTTCTTCCCATCCCTCCTGCTCCAGGGGAGAGCTCATGCCCTGCCTGGAGCTCTGTTAATTCTCCATCTCTTGCTCCAAAGGAATCTTGTGGGATGTCCTGGTGTTTTCCTCACCACTTCTGACCCTTCCTCCTCCTCCTCACAACATTTGCCTCCCGCAAACCAGGAGAGGCACTGGGGGGTTGGTGGGAAGTGGCTGTTCCTGCTCTGCCCGGATACGGGAACTGGGAGCAGGGAGTGAAACCAGCTGGAAGTAAAGGGGAGGGAAAGTTGGTTCTTCATCCTGTGGGTGATAGACCTGTGGAGCAACTCGTGCACGGTTTTCTGGGAATCATGGAATGCTTTGGATTGGAAGGGACCTTAAAGCCCATCCAGTGCCACCCCCTGCCATGGGCAGGGGCACCTTCCACTATTCCAGGTTGCTCCAACCTGGCCTTGGACACTTCCAGGGATCCAGGGGCAGCCACAGCTTCTCTGCCCAACCTCTGCCAGGGCCTCCCCACCCTCTCAGCCAGGAATTCCTTCCTAATATCCCATCTAACCCTGCCCTCTGTCTGAAGCCATTCCCCCTTGTGCTGTCCCTCCATCCCTTGTCCCAAGTCCCTCTCCAGCCCCTTGTCTTTAATTTGCCTACAGACGACACAGGGAATTTTACATCTTCAGTCTCCCCCAAATCCCAGCTTTTCTGCTGGTTTATGAGAGGGATTCGCAGCCTTGACAGGGGGTTTCCTTCACCCTTTGTGGGAGCAGAGTTGTCTCCCAGCTTGGACTCCGTGGCTGGATTGTGGATGAAACTCAACTGGCCACTTCCACTTCCACAAGCCGACTTGGAGCGATGCTGGAATTTGAGCAGGTTTATATTCCTGGACAAAAACCACCCCGAGCTGCTCCACGGATGGAGAAGTGAGAGCTGAAGGTTTTGGAGCCCCTGGTTGCGTGGGGTCACCTCCCGTGGCCGTGCCGACAGCAGGGTCTCCCCTCCCAGGATCGCCGGGATCGTGTCTCGCGTCTCCGGGTCCTTTTCCTCGGTCTGCTGGTTGTGATGGATAACGGCCCTGGAACGGGAGCCGAGCTGGCAGGAGGCCTGGAGAGTCAGGGGAACTGCGATTGGCAGCTCAATCCATTCGGTTTAAATTAGCATCATATAAATTCTTTTAAAATTGTTTGATTTCACCAGCGGGAATGGAAGAGGCCTTGATACAATGGGGAGAGGAAATGGTGTTTTTGTAACATTACAAATCTGAGGCCGACGATGACAAGAGCTGAAAATTTCATTTTGTGATAATCAGAAGGATCTGTCTTGGAGCGCTCGGAGCCGTCGCTGTTTCTGGCCGGGAGTCAAGGATTGGGGGGGAGTGGATGGGGGAGAGGTGGATGGAGGGAGTGGGATGGGGGAGAGCGGGATGTGGGGAGCTGGATGAAGGGAATGGGATAGAAGGAATGGAATGGGGGGGAGCGGGATGGGGGGAGTGGGATAGAGGGAATGGGATGGGGGGGAGCAGGATGGGGGGAGCTGGATGAGGGGGAGCAGGATGCGGGGAGTGGGATAGAGGGAATGGAATGAGGAGGAGCGGGATGGGGGGAGTGGGATAGAGGGAATGGGATGGAGGGAGCTGGATAGAGGGAATGGGAT